TCACAAGCTCATTTAACAACACTTATAACACCTTTTCCAGAAGCATCTTATTATCATCTTACTGAAAACGAATCAAACAAACATATATCTAACAATGACAGATGACTCACAAATTTGGATATTTAAATGACCTTTCGTTATTTTGACATTTCATACAACATAAAGAAAAAGATTTCTTTTTTAACAAGCGGAATTTTTTTTATAAAAATGCTTTTCAGTCTCTGTGGATTTAGAAAGTGATAATGTTTGTTAAACCACTTTCTGGGTTTTTCCAATATGCCGTATTTACACAAATTCAAACATTCGGACATGCGGATCTGTGTCTTGAATTTAAAGATGTGACCACACATAGCTGCTTCTGCTCTGTGGATATTGTCCTTCTTCATCTTCCTCCTATCTGTGTGTCTGCAGCCTGAGGAGTACGGGCAGGAGGCCATGGAGGGCCAGGGCGAGGGGATGCTGCAGCCAGAAGGGGAGACATATGATGACTCCCAGCAGGTAACAACACCACTCACAGCTCATACGTGTGTGTGTGTGTGTGTGTGTGTGTGTGTGTGTGTGTGTGTGTGTGTGTGTGTGTGTGTGTGTGTGTGTGTGTGTGTGTGTGTGTGTGTGTGTGTGTGTGTGTGTGTGTGTGTGTGTGTGTGTGTGTGTGTGTGTGTGTGTGTGTGTGTGTGTGTGTGTGTGTGTGTGTGTGTGTGTGTGTGTGTGTGTGTGTGTGTGTGTGGAGGTCTGACACAGATGGCTATTTTTGGAATTTAGATGTCATTTGGCAAGACAAACTGTGCAAAACCATTTGCTTTGAATACAGATTTAAGAGTAAATGCAATTATCACACAATGAACATTATGTTCTTATATTAAATGTATATTGTCAATTGCATATTTTATGATTAAAATAGACTGAAATGGTCGTGTTTTTAGCCTTAAAAGGGTTATATTCTCAGTGAATATTATAATATTCAGACATAGGAAGATTTTATGACATTTTGCATAATATTTAATTTGTTTTCAATATATTCAGTACATTATGTCAGATGTTCAGTTCCCTCAGTGGATTATTGCATTAATCAGTTAAAGGAATGAAACCTGGATATTCTCTGAGATGCAAATTAAAAGTGAATTTCTAAGAGGCAGTAGCTGGTGTCCCTGCTCCATCTCTCTCCTCTCCTCCGCATCGCTTTCCCCTCCCCCACCCTCCACACCAGAGATGTACAAGCTCTGCCTGAATGGGTGTGGTGATGATGCTGACTGCCTCAGTGCATTGTGGGTAATGTCAGGGTCTCCCTGCCTGCATTGCTGTGAATACGGAGTGCTGCAGAGTGAGCCCAGCCCTCATAGGGGGGGTTTGGAGAAAATTGTCTGTCTCATTCAGCATCACTTTTAGTTTTGTGAATTCATCAGATGACCTAATACACATTCCTGGAGGCTGTGTTTTATGGTCATGTGCGTAGGAGGCGTGTGCAGAGTTACAAGGAGGCTGGTAATGTGCTCACGACTCGTCCTTCAGCTGGTGCAGCGATGTGCTGCCCTCTGCAGGCGGAGAGAGACACTCAGACAGCACACAGCTGAGATAGACATCACTACCTTTAGTGGAGCGGGATTATCTCTGACTATAACCACTCTGTCATAGTTATTATTTATAAACCCATTTCAATTCATATATTAGAGTCTTGGTGTTGAATTTAACCTGCTGCCTGTCTCTTAAAATCAGTTCTTCTTTCCCCAGGGAAGCCAGGACTACGAGCCAGAGGCGTAAAAGCACCAGTCCAAGCCACCAACAAACCAGCAGCACAATAATACTTCTAATAATAAAAAGGACAAATGCTGAAACTATTACAATTATACCCCTGTTGCAAAAAAACACAAGCATTCCCATTGAAAAATGTTCTTCCTTCAAGACAAATCTTTTATTATTATATATTGTAAATGTCATGTTATTAATGTAATGTGTTGGGTGTAGGTATTTATTGAGATGTAGGATGTGTCCTCTCGGTCTCATTTCCTTGACTCCCTCCCAATGAAATGAGACCAGAGCCGGGGCTTGTGACTTTGTACTTGTGTGTATCTGTATTTAGAAACGTGCAATAGATGTTCATCATCTTCCAATGAGACATTGGGAGTGGAAAATATGAAATATGTCCGGTTGCAAGCAGATATGAAAAACAATAATATCTTCCTAAGTGTCGACAATGCCTGTTTGTGGGTTCTTTCCTTTTCTTTTTGCATTTCTTTGGAAATTTCTTTCAACTTTTTTGAAGTAAGAGTTTTTTACATTGTATCTTTATAGTTGCTTGTGAAATCATTCCAGTAAATCTGTTTTTAATTGACAGAGTATACATGTTTGTGTGTGCGTGTGTTTGCGTGTACTGAAGATTTTAACAAGTTAAAGTCAATATATTATGTCTTGAAATCATAATGGTTGTCATATCAATACGTGCTTTAAATTGCAGGACTTGTCAATATAAAGGTTTATGTGTTAAGCCAGACATACATTCCTCTGTAAATAAAAAGTAAAAAAGAAACCGTGTTAGCGTCATGTGATAATGTTTAAACTCCCTTTTGGCATTGATGGTTCATTAGATTTTGAGCCTCTTGTAATTCAGTTGGATGTTCTGCCTGTTGGTCTAAATGAGGATCTATTATGCACCGTCCTCACATGTGTCCCTTTTTTGCTCACTCTTGTCTGGGGGTTTGATCACAGGATGTGTAAAATCTGCTGAGCGGGCTCATGCCCTTGGATGGATTCTGCCATAGTTGGGATGCCAGTCTCGCCGGGCCTCTTTTGGGGGGGTTTTGTTTGGGTTCATCCGGCTGGAATGTGCAGGCTCGGGGGTGTCGGGCTCGAACTGAGAGTATTAAACAGCCTCTGCTGCCGCTCTCCGCTCAGACCAAAGTGAGGAGGCTGCAGGGACAAAGACCGGAGCCATGGCCTCGTTCAAGAAGTCCTTTGAGAGCCTGAAAGGCACGAGCCACTCGGCCACCAAGGGAGTCACAGATACTGCAGGTACAGAGCCACAGCTGTGACATGGCACTGGGCCAGTGTGAGGTCTAGTGGACAGAGAAAAGGCTATTTTTCTCCAGGGTTTGCCTTTCTTGGTTAAAAAAGAGCTACTTGATTCCAATAAATGTCCTTGATTTTTTGTCTTTAAGTTGTAATTGACTTGGAGTGTAAATAATGTATGAGATTGTTTCCTCCTGAGGTCCACCACTGTGAGTCTCTGTCATGTGTTTGCAGTGCAAGCAGCTCAGGAGGCCGTGCAGCAGGTGGCAGAGTCCTCCAAAGAAACAGCCAGCACAGGTAAAGTGATCACGCCCTGTCTCTGAAGCTTTGTGGCGTGATAATGGTTATTATCGAGCAGACACAAGTTAGAGTCCAGTACAAGCTCTCAGGAGATACAAGAACTTTGATCCCACATTATGGTCGATGTAGGATAAGACACTGAAGTTACCCATTTGGTTGTGTAACACTGTGTTTCATCATTATGGAAATACATATTCATTCAAATGTAGCTCTGTTCAAATTCATTTTAGAGACAAAATGTTGCAGGAATAGAATGATAACCTAATATATTTATTTTATTGGAGATGAGCTTTTTATATGCAAATAAATATATAGTTATGCTCACAAGTTTGCATGTGAGTTTATTAAAAAAGTTTGATAGTCTTAATCAAATTCTGCAAAGCTTAGCCTAATTCTGATTATGTGGTTTAGCTTCCTGAATATTTCTCCTCTGCTTCACTCTGACTCTGAAGCTGCTGTAGAGGCTGGCAGACAGACGCAGGTCGCCATAGGGAAAGCTGCGGACAAGGCAACGGACACCATCAAGGAGTTCGGACAGAAACTGGAGACAAAATGAACCTTGAAAAGAAGAAATTCTAGCTGGAGCCAAGTTGTCTTTACATCCATTTTAGATGAAGAAGTAATACTGCCAGGTTGGATATATATATATATATATATATATCCAACAGCTATAACTTCAAAGGAAATCTTCATGAATTGTCTCTTTATTTATTTTTCTCCTCTCACATTTTTCCATTTGTGTTTCTTGCATGTTGTAGTTTTCATTAAATGTGCCTATTTTGGGAAATAAAAACAGATACCAACTCAGGTTTCTTTCTTTTAAATGTGATTTCCTGGCTCCTACAGTAGACACTATTACACATGTCTGTGCTGCTTCCTGTTTTCCGCTCTCTAACACGGCCATTATTACCAACACATTGCTGAGAATATGGCCTTTGGCAGGCTGATGGCTCCTGATGAGAATATGATCAAGGCTGCCCACCTCGGCCCTCAGCAGCACACCTCCCTGCATCACACTACGTTGCTAGGCAACAGCACTATGTGGCGGCCAGGGATTGGTGGAGGCCTTTGAATTAAATGTGAGACTGCTCCTGTCAGTACACACTGTTCCTGCAAACCTGCAGCACACCATTACAGTGAAATGAAGACGGGGAGGATTGTTAAAAAATGTAAGATAAATGTTAATGTCCTCGGTCGCACACAATTACCCGATGTGAGCAGAATCTCTGAGATATATCCACGAAGCAGAGCGGAGAGGTTGGAGGGATCAGTGTGAAAGACGTGGTGGTTTATAAGTGTGTGTGTGTGTGTGTGTGTGTGGGAGGTGCAGCTCTTCTTGCTCCAGGCTCTTTCAGCTGATATCCCCCGCTGCCTTTCATCTTCTCTCACTGTTGCAGCTTACTAATATTCCACATTTCAAGTGTTTACATTGCTTTTCTGAGTCCATTCACTGGCTTGTAATGATCTGCATCCACCAAACACTTTTTGCTGCTTTTTACTACAATACAAAAAAGGTGTCTTTCACAGACACACAGATCTATCTTTCCTAAGCAATTCATTATAAGAGGATAAATCCCTCTTGCGCCTACTTCGCCCTCCCTCCCTCATCTGTAGTAACAGCAGAGCTATTAATCCAAATGTTGCTTCTTCTTTTTTTAAGTTCGCTAAGTCACAGGTTTATCCCTGCAGTTTGCCATTGTGTTGCTCTGAGAGCCTTGAGTTAATTACTATGATTTAGTGATGAGAGCTGAACGGAGATGTTGTCATTACATTACCACTCACTGCCAGAACCCGACCGTGGTTTCCAGGGAAACTGGAAAATGTGAAGCTTTTCAATAGAGGCAGCCCGAGCTTAAAGAGCGAGGATTGCCTAAGATAGATTCTTCTGGAGACAAACCTGGAGCCACTGCAAACACTATCAATCAACAGGGGAGAAGCACAGACAGATGTGCGGCTCGATCAGCGCTGAGATTTTGTGATTTTACCCAGATGTGAGGGAGAGTGATGGAGAGACTTCAGTCTGACTTGGACTGCTGAGGTATGTTTGTCACTCGTCGTGATGTCCTGCAATTTGTTTTAATCCTGTTAGTCTTCATAGTTTACAAAAATAATAAATGCTCTGGATTCCTGTGCATGTCTTTATTGCTTTTATTATATTTCAGGTTAAAAATGAACTTAAATATGAGCTATCTTGTGAGGTTTTAAAGGTAGAAAGACACAGTCTGATATATCATCCAACTGTAAAATGTTCAAAAGAATATCTAACATATTAAATGCTGTTTATTAATAGTAAATATTCCACTACAGTGTCTAATACAAATAAACCATGTGAATTATTTCATCGAACGCTAGCAATCATGTAACTTCTTTTTTAGTTTTCATACTTGACATGACTTGACATTTTGCATGACGAAATATTTTTCTTAAGAAAAACAAATCCTTCATTTTGTCCTCCACTTGTTGTTATAGTTAAAAACAAATCTTACTGTGTGTGCTGTGTTGTGCTCCGCAGGTGCTTCCACCACTAATGCAGAGACAAATGGGAAGTCTGAAGGAGGAGATGAGAGGTCTCAGAGAGGACCAGAAGCCGTGCGAGAAGACGGAGGATGGAGAGCGTCCAGGCGGCTCAGATGGCGGCACTGAGCCTGGGGGACCTCAGACAAACATGAGTAAAGAGTCAACAACTCATCAGCCAAAACTTCCCATGAATGAAAGAAACGTTGAGGAGAGAGACACGAATGCCAAATCCAAAGATCAAGAGCTTTCAGATGGAGGTGTTGTCAAAGACTCGATGCAGACGAACGCCATCCCTCTGACACAACAGCCTGAAGATGATAAAACAACAACTGAACATAACAACACGACAATCTCTCAGAAGTTCCAAAGTGCTGGAGGTGGGGGGATTCAGGAGGAGACATCTAAGGATCAGAACGTGGGTCCTGACAGAGAAAAGGTGGCAGATATTGAGAATATATCGGTGCCTGTGCCAGTGACTCCGGGCCCTTCAGACCCTCGCTCCCCCGCTCCCCCCGGCCAGCAGCACATGCGCACACAGGTCAGCCTGGAGGTGGTCCAGTGCCGCTCCGCAGCCACCAGCCCCATGACCCCCCCTGAGGACGGCCAGTCCTTCTTCTTCCCCAGCTCCTTTGGGAAGCTGGGAGCTGTGGGCGCTGAGCTTAAGGTGGGACAGCTGGTAGAGTTGTGCTCTGTGGCCACATCCCCCATGACCCCAAAGACGCCCTCCACCACGGCTTTTCCAGAGCTGATCGGGAGGGAGACGGTGCAGAAAGATCAGAACGAGAAGGTGCAAAGGGAGAGTGGCCAAGAGTGTTTCCCCACGACACAAAGTCTGGAAGAGGCTGAGTCAGAGATAACTGGAGCTCTGCAGGAGCAGAGAGAGAGCGCCGGGTTGTCGGTTTCACAAGTAACTATGGAGGATTGTAAACAGCAGTGTAAACAGCAGAGGATGGGAAGTATGGATCAAGACATTACAATCCTGGTGACCCACTATGGCAACAATGAGGGGGAAGAGGAGGAGAAGGCCGAATCATCTTGTTATCCCATTGAGACAGAGATGGTCAAAATAGACGAATTTGAGGAAGAGCGAGAAAACAACGGTGATTTAAAGGGTCAACAAAAGCAAATGGAAGAAACCTGCGTTACTGCATGCGTAGTTCCAAAAACAGACGTGACAGCTGAACATTCAGAGGTGGAGGAAAACAAAGGTGCATGTGGAGAGTTGAGAGGAGAGACAAAGCCTCCTGTCCCTGAATCTCCTGCTCCCTTCGGCCGCCACAACATCCGCACCCAGGTCAGCCTGGAGGTGGTGCAGTGCCAGTCTGTGGCCACCAGCCCCATGACCCCTCCTGAAGGGGACCAGGCCTTCTTCTTCCCTAGCTCTTTGGGGAAGAGTGAAGGTGTAGGCACCGGGACTGAAGAGGCGGAGCTCCGTCAGCCGGTGGAGTATCGCTCCGTGGCCACAGCACCTATGACCCCCAGAACACCGACCACCATGAGCTTTCCTGAGATCAGGAAGGATGCAAGCGTTGAGAAGAGAGTGGAGGTCAAAGTGGAGGTGGAGGTGGAGGACAAAAAGGAGGTGGTGGTCAAAGAGGAGGTGGTGGTGGTGGAGGACAAAAAGAAGGTGGTGGTGGAGGACAAAAATAAGGTGGTGGTGGAGGACAAAAAGGAGGTGGTGGTGGTGGAGGTCAAAGAGGAGGTGGAGGACAAAAAAGAGGATAAAGTAAGCGCAGAGAAACAGGTGGAGGCAGCTGAAGTGGACACAAAGGAGGTGGTGGTGGTCAAAGAGGAGGTGGTGGTGGTGGTGGTGGAGGACAAAGTGGAGGTGGAGGTGGTGGTCAAAGAGGAGGTGGTGGTGGTGGAGGACAAAGAGGAGGTGGTGGAGGACAAAAAGGAGGATAAAGTAAGCGCAGAGAAACAGGTGGAGGAAGCTGAAGAGGACACAAAGGAGGTGGTGGTGGTGGTCAAAGAGGTGGTGGTGGTGGTGGTGGTGGTGGAGGACAAAGTGGAGGTGGAGGTGGTGGAGGACAAAGTGGAGGTGGAGGTAGTGGTCAAAGAGGAGGTGGTGGTGGTGGAGGACAAAGTGGAGGTGGAGGTGGAGGTGGTGGTCAAAGAGGAGGTGGTGGTGGTGGAGGACAAAGTGGAGGTGGAGGTGGTGGTCAAAGAGGAGGTGGTGGTGGTGGAGGACAAAGTGGAGGTGGAGGTGGTGGTCAAAGAGGAGGTGGTGGTGGTGGAGGACAAAGTGGAGGTGGAGGTGGAGGTGGAGGTGGAGGTGGAGGTGGAGGTGGAGGTGGTGGTCAAAGAGGAGGTGGAGGACAAAAAGGAGGATAAAGTAAGCACAGAGAAACAGGTGGAGGCAGCTGAAGAGGACACAAAGGAGGAGGAGAATGGTGAAGAGCAAAGTGAGGAGCCGGTGCAGGAGGTGAGCTGGGATGAGAAAGGGATGACGTGGGAGGTGTACGGGGCCGTGGTGGAGGTGGCTGTGCTGGGATCAGCCATCCAGAAACACCTGGAGAAACAGGTGAAGAAGCAGAAGCCCTCCATGCCTCCCCCTCCTCCGCTCAACCCCTCAGCAGTGCCCCTCTCTCCAGAGTCCATCCGGGGGGGATCTGGCTCGGGTTCGGGGTCAGGTTCTGGTTCGGGAAAGGGTCGGGCGGGGAAGAGGGGAGAGCAGGGTGGAGGGGTGAGCCGACGCAGAAGAAACCCCTTCCGCCTGCTGATGGAGAACATGCAGCAGCCACACTGCTGCTCCAGAGCTCACACTGCTGAGTGACACGGGATCCTGAGGAGAAAACAACCTGTGCTGAAAATAAAGCACCATGCACGGTATGCGTCTGTGATACACTGATTTCCATCAACGTGACATTGTCTTGAGAGTGTGACAAGCAAATCAACTCCTACACGAGACAAAGAAGCACAAAAGCATTTAAGACTTGTACCACGGGGCTCTGAGGATCCGCCAGTTCCTTTTTTTGTTCGGAGTTTCCATGTTGGGAGAAATGAGGATGACCTATTTTCCTCCTTTATTGTTTTTCACCCAGATCATTCAATTGTCCACTGAGCCATTTTAGCTGCTGATACTTTTTTGTTTGTTCCTCAGACAATATGAAGCCATGGCAATGCTTCTCTGCTTACAGGCCTAACACAGCTCTGATGGAGATACAGGACAGAAGACAGACACTGACCGTTTCTCAGTGTTATTTATGAATGTGTGGTCAGTAGCCACAGCCTGAGGGCCATTTTGCAGCCATTTTTTTCCTGAATGTATGGAAGTTGAAAAACAATCTCATTTTTGCCTTGATGTGTGGGAGAGAGGCTTTTGTCCGTCTTTAATCTGCTTTTAGATTTGGCTTGCTGCTTTGACTTGTTTGTTTTGTGAAAACTATAAAACTGTACAAATGCCAAGCACAATCGACACCTGATATGAGGGTATTTTTAAACATTGCTACTTAATGTATTTTAACACCGTGTTTAGTGATTCAGTTGTAAACGATGTAATGAAACCTATTTTAAATGTGTTTGAATCCCAGAGGTTGTTACAGTGTCAGTGATGTTCATATGTTACATTCATAAAAGTCCACATTTGGAGAAACTGATTTTATTCAGACTGCACTTTGCACTGCACGTGATACATTCATTTAGATGTCAGTAAACAGAAATATATCTTCAATCCGCTGCTTGTACAAAGTCACACTGCATGAGGTTTTATTCCAGCAGCACGCTTCTTACACTCAAAGCAAACACTGAGACATCGAACAGGCCTTAGGTCTAACCTATGGCTGACGTGCAGTCATATTTCATTAATAATCATACATTGATTTTGTTTATAGCATCAGCTGCAACAAAATGAACATTGTGTATGTTGTTGACATAACGTATAATACAGTTAATTTCAAAGCAATCCTAACGGTTTTTAAACTTTCGCTTAATATATTAACACAAATAAAGTGATTCACATGTGCAACAAGCAATTGTTTTGTTTGCTTTCCCTTTGCTTCTGTCCATTTTTCATTGTCAAGAATGAGAACATTTAATAGGAGGAGTTAGTAGGGAAATACACGTATTTGCGAGGTAAGGTTATTACCTCTCATGGCTTTGTGATAAATGTTAAGCCACAGATTTTCAGGTGATTTATGGCTGTTGTTAAACATTAATACTGGCTGTAGTGGCATTCATTTTAGGATCTAACTCAATCGGAATATTTCCAAATATATCAAAATGTTCTCTTTACTGTTCAGGCAAATGCAATAACCAAACAAAAATCAATGAGATCAATAGTCTATGTGATATTAATGTATGATTTGTAATCCCAGAGAAAACCTCCCACTTGGTTCTCCCTTTGTATCCCTTTGAACTGAATGTTTAAACAAAGCATATTCATCACTTTAGGTGCCATGAATCTAACATCAATAATAAATTACTACTGGTCACAACAGAAGGCTTCTTGAAGTTATAAAGACTTCATCCAACACCATCAGAGTGTTTGACTGGACATTTGGTCAGCCTGATTACACAGAAGCAACACAATGTTCATCTGAGGCCTCTGGTCATTGTTTCCCTCACAGGTCCGTCGTGCTGAACGCGGGGTTAATGAAACCCACGTGAGGTTTGTCGGAGGCTTTCTTCTGGCCCCGCTGGGCCAGCGCAGCACCCAGAGGCTCGATGTACTTCGGTGGCCCGCCATCATCCCACTCCTCCTCTTCCTCCTCCTGGATGCTCTTCTATGGAGGAGCAGACAAGTTTGGAAATTAGACCATATTTTAAAAAAAGTACAAATTAAGATGGAGTTGAAAATGTAAATGCACCATGTTAGATACTTCGTTCATGGAATAGCTGTCGTCCAAAGAGTTGAGGCTGTAGAGGAAAACAGAAGGATGCAGTAATTATTATATCCACTAATAATAATTTCAGAAATATAGTGTTTTTTTTTTCTGTCAAATCTGTGTTACGGTTTTTTGTAAAAGGTCACATGCCAACGTTGGAAAGCCAAAAGCCAGTTCTCCATCACAACATGCTGTTATGAGCACGCTGTGGCAAAATGTTCACCTGGAAACCTTCCCAGTTTTCACCCAGCACTGCCACAGAGCAAGCTTGTGTGTCACTGAGCCCCCACCTTGTGTCGGAGGAAATCACTGCTCCCAACATAAAGGGGGAGACTCAGAGAGGTTCCCTTTACCTGACTTTGTCCACATCTGAGCTGTCCTCGTCCATGTCCAGCACCATGGTGGTATCGATGTTGAGGTTGAGGACGGGATTAGCCCTGTCAGCGAATAATGACACACATGGGAGAACAAATGTGTTATATTTCATGTCAGTTATGTATTGATGTATCTCATTAATGCCTCTGTCTCCTGCTCACCCCTCCATAGTGTACTTGTTGGTCCCGGGCACCACAGCGCCGCTTTTCTGGTTGTTGGAGGTCACCATGGAGGCAGAGTTCATGGCTTTAGCTGCCTTCAGCTTCCTCCTGTAGCTGTTTGTGAAGTGACGCGGTAAGTAGACAGACACAGTCACAATCATGTATGTTTTTAGATCAATGGAAACTTTTGCTGGGATAAACTGTGGTTGATTACTTGCTTCATATGTCCCTAACTTTATTCCAAATGATTTGACTTGTTATCTTACTTTCTGCGAGTGCACATCAGGGAAGTGGTGAGGACAGTCAGCACCACGATGAGGCCGGCCACTATCCCCATCAGGATGTACCTCAGAGGGTCGGTTTCTGCTTCGAGCACTGGAGCCTTCCCCTGGAACATGAGTAAGAAATATGTTTAGTGTATTATTGCCTGTGGACCTATGAGGGATCATTTACTTTTGACTGATCTAGTTTGCGGTTCAAACGGTTCACCTTTGCTCCCGTTAATATGGTTGGTTATCTTGGACATAAAATAAAGTTTAGTGATAAAACAGCACTGTGATAATAAAACTATTTTAACGTGCCAATTTATGCATGTTAACACGGGTCTTTTTTTTTTCTTCTCTTTTTTTTTAATATATTTTTATTTTTCAGTTATAAAATAAACAGACATTGCTCCAGATAACAGAAAAAAACATGTAACAACAAACAACTAAACAAAACATAACGGGGGGGGGGGGGGGGGGATGCAAGGATGACTTCCTAAGACAGCTGATTGTGACATACACAATACATTACACAGGAGATGCCATATTGGCAGGGTCAGATAGGAGAGCTGCGGACAGTGAACCGTAATCCTCCTGTCTCCCCTCAAAATCCACCAGCAGAGAAGCGGCACGCTCCATGTTCAGTAGGTCCAGATACTCCCTCAGCCATGAGTCCCTAGTAAAGCAGGCTGGTTTGCTTTCCTTCCAGTTTAATAGGATGAGTCTTTTTGTGGCTAAACAGCCCAATGTCCAGAGCCGATCGGCAGTCCTTGCAACATTGCCATCTGGCTTGAGCCCCAGTAGGCATGCAATGGGACATGTAGGGAAATTAACTTTTAAAGATTCAGACATGAATGATATTATTTCTGACCAAAGTTTTTTTACCGCTGGGCATTCCCAGAGTAGGTGCAACAATGTACCTCGCTTGCCACATTCATGCCAGCATAGGTCTCTGTGTTTATTGTCCATCTTGGATTTTGTAACAGGGGTGATGTAAGCTCTATTGAGAATTTTGAACTGTATGATCCTGAATCTTACACATTTAGAAGAGAACATAGCTGACCTCCAAATGAAGTTCCATTGCAAAGCAGACAGAGAGATATTCAAGGCATGCTCCCAGGACAGTTGGACAGGAGAATAGGTATTTGGGGCAGCCCTAGATAATAATTTATAAATATTAGAGACCACACCTGATGATAGGATTGCTTTCTTGAGGCGCTGGTCCTCTTCCATACATGAAGCAGGCATGGCTCCCTCCTTACATGTTGTACTAATAATAGATGCTATGTGTGCATATGATAGAAAAGATGAGTCTGAAAGACCATACTGATTTTTGAGTTGTTGAAATGGAAGGGTTTGGTCTCTATCTGTCCAATTGTAGTAATACCAGCTTTCTGCCAGATATTATTACTTAAAGTGCCTCCTCCTGCAGAAAGGCAGGGGTTACTCCAGATAGGGCAAGATGGTAAAGAGAGCCCCTCTATATTGAGTCTCCTGTGTAGTTGCTTTACAGTAGAGCATGAAAAGCGGATGATGGTATGTGGGCAGTACCACATTGATGCCAGAGATATGTTTTGGTTTACAGACATGATGGATTGCTCCAGCCATTGCCAACTGCCTACCGGAGAGACACTTTTGTACGCCCAAGATAATGGATACTTTGCATTGAAGGACAGATAATATTGGAATACATCCGGGACTCCCAAACCTCCCATTGATCTTGGAATGATCAACTTATTATGTGCGATTCTTAGTTATTATTCCAAAGGAACTGAGTGAAGAGGGATTTGATATCTTTAAACCATTTTAGTGGGAATTCAAGAGGGATAGAGGAAATAATATGAGAAAGCCTTGGGAGAACATTAATTTTCAAGGTTTCTGCTCTACCCCATAGAGAAAGTGGTATGGCCATCCATCTGTTGATGTCCTCCTTAATGGACTGGAAAATAGCAGGGCCGTTAAGGCTAAAGATTTTAGAGATAGGAGAGACGATGTTAATTCCCAAATACCTCATTCCATTTGTTTTCCAAATAAAGGCGGTGTCCATTAGGTTGTGCTTATATGTATATGAGTTAAGTGGGATTGCTTCACTCAACACGGGTCATTTAAAGAAATGATCAAATCTTATCATTCATTTTAGCCAATGAGGCTCAATATGTCCTAGTGCTGCTTAATATGTTTTTACTTTAAAAAAGGATTGCCTCAAAACTGTCCTGTAGCAAACATTTTTAAAAGAAAACATTTTCAAGTCACTTGGAGGTCATGTTGACACAGGGAAGTGTTGTAAATCAAATGTAATCAGTACAACAAGGGGGGAATGTGCTGCAGTTAAAGTAGTAGTACTGATTTGATATCTGGGACTCACTGTCTCGTACAAGAGATCATCTGTTACCGTAAAGTAGTCCCACAATTGTTTTTAGGAGAAGAAATGATGTAAACCTACTCCAAAAATCCACAAGGCTGATTCAATTCAGTTGAAGAAAGCTTAAATGACAGGAAAGAGACCCTTTCATACAAAATAAAAATAAACAATCTAATACTTATACTCACAATGTCCGCCAGGCCAAGCTCTATGAGTATATAAGCGTGGTCAGGATCCGAGATCATTGTCTCCACTTCAGTAGAGGTAAGAGCAGTCCCGTTGGAGTAGACAAAATATGCCACTACGATCGTGTTACCTGAAGCCCTGCGAGGAAAATACAACTCACTTACACCCTTAAAACAAATAAATGAAGTAATACAACTGTTTTAGTCTTCAAATCTAAATTATCTTTGGCTGCATTTATCACCTACAATTACCAGTAAATAATGTATCCTGAACAATATACAGGGACACTTGCACCATCTAGTGGACAACAGTAAGTAGACTTCCTGTCTAAACCAGCCATCATTTATTGTATCCGTTTTCACACTCATCATTTGTTTAGATTCATCTACATGTTAGAGAAAAGGGAGCTTGCCTGGAGGATTCCGGAAAATCAGGCCCGATTCCAGCGATTTCAACCGTAGCCTTGGTGGCAGAAATAAGCGCCCTGGAAACGTACAAAACAGAAAAGGAAAAAAGTACCAGATCAAAAACATTTTAAAATAATAAATATATTCTTGAATGTACTTTTATCAAATTCTAATTTAACTAAAATAAAGGCTACAATGGATAAATGTACCTGATGATTTCATTGAGGTTTTCTTCAACCCTGGCTTGGGATTGTGTAAATTTAAGATTCACTCTATAGGATTCATCAACTGCAAAGATCTGCAAAATAAAGAGAACAGGAGACACAGGATGTCTATCTGTCTGGTGTATTTATTTAGGAAAATCCAGCTGCATAATTTGAGTCACTCACCTCCAGTACGGTGCTGGTGGACAGTTTTCCGCTGTCAGTTGCACTCACGCTGACCAAATACCTCCCTTTCAGTGATGTATCAAGCCCCTCGGTGGTTCTGTGGAAAGAGAGGGAAATCAAGGGTACAGCCATGGACAGATTAATAGAAACGGCCCCTTGGCACAGACAATAAAGGACTACCATACTTACACAGGACCATGACGGAGACATGGGGTATTTTAATCTCTTTTAGTGTTTTTACTTGTAATTTGTGTCTCTTTATAGTTGTCTTTATTGTGATTTTTGGAGGCAGTTTTGTCCCAGTTGTAGTTGTTTTGTTGACTATTTTATTAATAATAATAATAATAATAATACATTTTATTTGGGGGGCGCCTTTCATAGCACCCAAGGACACCTTACAGGGCATAGGGTAATATAGGGGAAATTAAAACAGTGGATTTAATGAAATGTCAGCCGGGGTAAAACAAGACTGAAACTGTGGGTTTTCTCTGGAAGTGTTTCCTTGTACGATGTGAGGGTCTAAGGATAGAGGGTGTCGTTTTTCTCATACTGATATTCTGAACAATCTGTGCTGTTGTATTTGCTGTAAAGTCTCTCTACTGTAGGCTATTTTTATTATATGTACAGCACTTTGGCTCGACCAAAAATCATTTATAAATGTGCTATATAAATAAAACTTGATTTGATTTGAAGACAAACAACAGGAAATGGACTACAACATTTACATTTTAAATAATTTTCTATTTTGACAAATTTGCTTTGTGTTTTGTAGTTCTTTTGTGTCTCATTGAGGTTGTTTTCCACATCTTTGTGTTTGTTTTGAGTGTCTTTATAATAATATGAGTGTCTTTGTTTGGAGTTTTGTCTTAGTTTTTTAAGTGTCTTATTTGTTTTGCATCTTTGAATTTATTTTCCAATGTTAAAATGAATGATCAGTTCCAAGAGAGCCAGCAGTCAAATATCAAAGCTACTGAGAAATCCAAACAAACATTTAGAGCAGAATACAATAAGGCAGTATTACGTTGAAAAATGACTTTGTACTTACTGAATAATCCCAACGTAAATGTCCTTTTGCTGTGTAGTGACGGCCTCGAACAGCATCCTCATATCAGTTGTCTTATTGTTGTTGTCTTCAAATTGGACTCTTGTAACTTCAAATTCAACCTGCCTATTTATTAGAGAGTCCCGATCTGTAGCCTGGGAGCAGCAAGAGATCAAAGCAGGAATGTTCAGAGATCACGTCACATATCTCCTTCACAAGCTGAAATCGTGTAAATGTTTCAGTTTTTCATTCATACTCACACTGACTTCTGCTACAGATGTCCCTTTACTTGCACTTTCTGACACCACAACTAAAATCCAGAGAAGGAAAATCAGTGATGAACAATTAAATGCTAACAATACACACAATTCAGCTGAATATTGTATTTGTTTAAAAGAAAAACTAAAGTGTATTTGTTTAAATGACTTTAGGACATCACGAGGTTCAGTTAAAGGGGGCAGAATCCAAGTCAAATCTACTCTAGATAACATTTACTTACAGTCATACATCAAAAATATATACTCACCAAAAACCGAATTTGACAAAATGAATTCTGGAGCATTGTCGTTGATGTCTTCAATTTCGATAACCATTTCTCCTGTTTGATTGAATGAAAATGAAGTTAATTGTATTTCATGCTTTAACGTGATGCTTTTATGCTTTTGTGATCTGTACAACAAACTGACCTGTTGTGACACTGTTGTTCTCTCCTTTCTCTGTGTACTCGTCCACCACCTGAGCTTCAATCACCGCCAGGTCACACTGTTCATAATCCATTGTGGTCTCCGGGTTGACTCTGACTTCGCCTGTTGGATCGAGGATAAACCAGCTGCAGTCAGTCATAGAGCCGTTGCATCTGCATTTGATGGATTCCAGCTCGTAGACCAGTGAGTGGTTCCCATCTTTGTCCTGCGCTGTAAAGCTCCCGACGGCCCCGCTGATGGTGGTGTTCTCCTTCACCTTCACAGGTTCTGACGGCTTGAACTCGGGCCTCTCATCGTTCACGTCCAACACATCCACCTCCACCATCACTTTGGCTTTCACCTGTTCTAGATCTGCTGCCTCTACCTTCAGTTCGTACTGCTTGTGAGTGCTCTCATAGTCAAGCTCAACGTCGAAGTCTACGGTGATGTTTCCCCTGTATCCCCGCTCATCTGCAAAGGTGCGAATGATGAAGCTGCCGAAACCTCCATTAATGATGCTGTAAGAGATGCGGTTGAACTCTGTGGTTTGATCCAAGTCCTCAGCCTGAACAGAGCCCACAAAGGCACCTGATTGAATAGGAAAATGTACATCAAATCCAACCAAACATTTATAAACACTTGTGCTTAGCAAAGTTAATACTGACCTTTTTCTCCTTCTTTGACTGAGAATTTGTAAGAGGGGGCTTTAAACTTTGGTCCGTTGTCATTGACATCCTGGGTTGATCAGAAGAAAACATTGACAGTTATTTTCCTCACCAGGGGTGGCAGCATCAGAAACAACACAGCACCAATACTTTGCTGCGAAAGACTTGCCTCCACATTGATGATGACTGGAACCATGGTGGACAATGGGGGGATACCCTTGTCAGTTGCGGTTACGTTGAGCTCGATCCTCCCGTCCAGGTCCGGATCCAGGGCCTCTCGGTCGAGCTTACCCCTGTTAGTCAGCACACCGGTTTCAGGGTCGATGGTGAAGTTATCACTGTACCTGCTGGGTTCGATTCCAAACACTAATTGGCTGTTTTTTGTATCAGATTCATCTGCATCAGTTGCCTGTCCAAATGAGAAACATTATATGAAATTGTTTACTTGCATACACTATGTTGCCATAACAATATAAACATCCAAACAACACAAGAGGATGTCCATATGTGACTGCTGCACATCTCAGGCAGAAATGAGTGAGGCCGGGCCCTAATGTAGGGTCATAGGGCCTGGCTAGTTTTTTTTTCTTTCAATGTGTTATAAAGGGTTGAAGCTCTATGAGGCGGATCGATTCTTCCACACGACTCAAGAATGGCAAAATATCTTGTTTTATGGACCTTGTGTTGTGCACAGTTTGCAGAATATAACCGTTTAAAATACAAAATAGTTTCCCACTTATTTTTGCACAACTACAGCAAGTCTGGTTACAGGTGTTAAGCAGAACTATTCCATATAGGGGTGGGAATCACCAGGCTCCCCACGATACGATACTATCGAGATACGCCACGATACGATAGTATTGCGATTCTACGATATGCTAAGTATATCACAAATCACATGGGTCATATCCATGTCCGTCTTCCCTTCCTGGTTAAAACATGTGTTTGCAATATGAATAGTTTATGTAAATAACCCAATTTTTGTTATTTGAACCTGAAAAGGAGATGGCATTGTTTTTTTTACTTTCATTGCAATTGTATACATGTCTTAACGTAACTTCCTGTTTTATATACGACCATCTTTCGGAGGGATATGCTACAGTTTATATATATAAAAATTAAAAAATTAAAAAAGTTGATACTTGGCATCCGTGTATTGATACAATATCGCCACGCAAGGTATCGTAAGGTACTATGCTGTATCAATTATTTCCCCCACCCCTAATTCCATATGTGAAAAAAGCTTGTGTGCGGCTCCAGCGGAAGCTACACAAAACTTGGTAAATATCCTCAGAAATGTCAAGCGAGTCAGCATCTGTTGGGACGGAAGACTACAAGTTTATAAATAGTACACATCTGGGAGTGTGAAGTTATAAAAGAGGGGATCTTTTCAGAACTCTGTAGCCCACCCCTTAAAACTCTCTCAAAGATAAAGGCTGAAGGCTTGATTAGCCACTAAGAACATAACACATAACATAATCTATAACCCATCTATAACCACACTGGTGGCGGGTGAGTTGCATTGTGGGTAATGTAGACCCCATGAAGAACGCTTGGAATTAAGAAGACAATGTGTCTCTGGTTTGGTATCACTGATTTAGTTTTTATTTTTATTTTTGTAAACTGTCCCTCGTTGTACTCACAACATGTAATTTAAAGTTCTACGTCGACTGAATGTTTTTTTAAGATCTTTATTTGGTTTCTTAACTCAAAAATAGTTAGCTCGAACTGTAGCCTATAAACATGTTTCCAAATCTATCAACCCTAAAATATGAAACTGTGTCCTCTCTTTTGGCTTTTAAATTGCTTGTTGCAACTGTTATTATTTACCCTCCTGAATTGAACATTCACAATAAAGTATTTTCAATTTTCCCATCAACACAAAATCTGTTGGATTTAGCTCTAAAACTATTCATAAATAAATCAGAATTCCGGTTAATCATAGCATGGATACATAGATAGTAGTATTTACTACTCCCGTATATATATCCCCCACTGTTACCTGTATCTTAAGTTCAAACTTTTGCCCCTCTTTAACAAACTCCTGGTAGGAGTCTCTGTTCATGACTGGGGGGTGGTCGTTGATGTCAGTCAGAGTGATTTCCAGCACTGTGCTGCCGGGCTTGCCGTCTGTGTCTCTGGCCTGCAGAGTGGCTGAATACAGAGATCTGACCTCGCGATCCAACAGAGTCGCGTTTTTCACGGAAACTGCGGCCGTATGTGGATCCACGTCAAAATACAGCAGTCTGAAACACAGTGTGTGCAGTGGTGTTTTCTCAGTTAACATGACAGCAAAAGCTGCATAGTGTCAAATAAATGTGTTTTGGCATACATGCTTTCTGGAAGAAGTTTGTAGGTGATGTTGCCTTCATCCATTGTGTCAGGATCATCTGCCTAGGTTAGAAAAAACCAAACAATGTGTCCTATCCAAGTGTTTTCCACATGCAAGACAGTCTGAGTAAGAATTCAAATTGTAAAGGGCTTACAGTAATGGTGTCCAACACTGTCCCAGCAGGAGAGTGCTCAACCACCTCCAACTTGTACGTGTCCTTTGCGAACATGGGGCTGTTGTCATTGGCGTCCTTGATGTTAATAGTAACTGTAGCCGTGGAACGGAAGGAGGTGTCTTCTTCATCAATGGCAATGACCTGCACCACAACACAAGCATGGGAAACAGCTTAGTTAACTTAATTAACTGCTTCAATAATCACGAATACGATATGAACCAAAAGATGACAGATATATATTATTATATATTATTATTAGAGACTCATGCTGTTTTCAATTGTCCTTACAGTTAGAACAATTGTCAGTATTTTTTCATAATCCAGGTTTTGGGGCTGCTTGACCAGAAGCTGAACGATGCTGTCCGATGCGGTAGACTGAGGCTCCACTGAAAACACGTCACTGTTGAATCCCTCCAGGGTTAGTTTCATTTTTTTTATCTGCAAAAAAAGCCAAAAAGATTATTTATACATGATCATTTTTTCCTCTATTGAAAAGGAAAACTTCATGTTTTGGTTAAAGAAAGTCCCGTGTTTTTGGTAACTCTTCTGCTCACCTTATCCAGATCTTTTACTGTCATGTTGATGAAAACAGCGCCCAACGAGTGCTCAACCACATCTCCTGTAAAGTCACTCGCAATGACGCAAGAGCGCTCGTCTGCTGTGTCTCCACACTTGTAAAACTTTGGCGGGTTATCATTTTTGTCGATTATGTTGATCTGTACATCTGTTGTGGTGCTGGCTCGGACTCCGTGGATGTTTTCTTTAGACTCAGTAGCCTAAAACATTACAAAATACAATATAACAATGTAGGGAGGCAGTATTTATTTTTGATAATCACGTCATTCCAGAAAGAGGGTGTTTATATTGGCGGTTCTACTAATGAAGAATTGCATGCACGTCCCTTTGAGAACGATAGAGGCCTGTGGGAAAAGTAGCTTTTTCCAACATTGTAATAAAAACTAGCTACATTGAAATGTAACCCAATAAAGGAAGACAAACCTATCAAAAAGTGAGTCTGAAAATATCTGCCACTGGGAATCACTTCAGAGATTGAGAGAAAATGTTGCTAATAGTTTAGCCTTCTGCTAACATTAGACATTAGCTAGTCATCGCCAGTTAAGGAGCTGGCAAATCCAAAGTAGCATTAGGTCTCTATCCCTTACCCTTCGGAAATATATGACTAGAACTACCTCTGTTTTGAATATATTCTCTATTTTAGTTGCACTTGATTTTTTGTTTTGCTTCTTTTTTTTCAAATGGGATCAGCCCAGATGGTTAAAGTCCAGGAATGACCTCATCGTAGCCCATAATCTGTTATCTAACAAAATATGAACAATACCTTGTTAGCATGTTACCTCTTGTTTGTTGTATCCTTTCACAAATACAAATGTTTATAGTTTAACGTGGAAGGTTGAACGAGTACAGTAGGTACAGGTGTCATATTACGTATGCACCCAAGAGCGGTATGAATATTTTCAACTCACTCTCTGCAAACTGTTGAAGTGTTTATATGTTATTTAGAGTAATTACTCAAACTACAGGGAGGGAAATAAACATATACAAGACATAGACAAAGTTAACGTCCATACAGAGGAGGAAATTGATGTATGACTTTAAACATGTTTACCTTTACAGTCAGGGTAACAGTGTCACCAATCTCTTCTCTGTCAATATCCGACAACACAGATATGTTGCCATCAATTTGTGAGATTTTGAACAGGCCCACTGCTGCTGTGGAACCTGTCAAACAATGTAGGAAAAAAATGTCTTTCTCATTCACTTAGTGAAAACAAACACATTATAACCAAGTTGACAAGGGTCACCTTCAATGCTGAAGAGTAAATTATCATTTACTCCTGTGTCCTGGTCCATGGCCGTTACTCTAAACACATAAGTGTCCTGGCAAAGAACAAAAAAAGAAAACATTTACACAAAACTCAAAGTATGCTTTAGATGTTTACAGCAAATCACAATGTGCAGTACATTTGGGGCCATTGAAACATATATACATTATACATATATACAGTAGAGCCTGCACAGAGACAAGGAAAACATCCTAATTTACAACAGAATAAGAAGCTTAAGTCAGACAAATAATTGGAAAATGTGTAATAACTGAATGACTGTATGCACTCAAATGACATTGAGCAAGTTATTCTTATTTTACTGAAATGCATCAGCACTCACCAAGACAGCGTTTTCTTCCACTTTCCCCACGTAGGGCAGACCAATGAACTGTGGGTCCAGGTCTGGGACGTCCACAACCGTGACGAAGGAAAAAACAACGCTTGAGAAGTAGTTTTTAATTGGCCTATAATGACAGGCACCTCCACCATCCTGTTACAGAGCACACAGGAGTTTACATTAAAAAAAGAAATTCCAACTTGTTTCCTTTTTGTTATAGCACAATACAAATTATAGAATAGTAAAGTGGTAAAACCAGTAAGAATGAATGAAATAATGAAATTGGGTGTTCAATAACCATAACCATTCTCTACTGTATTAATATAGATTATATTTTGGGAAATAACTAATGACATTTCAAGTCTAGTGAAGAATATTGGCACCCCACTCACGCAAGAAAGCAAATAAAATACATTCGTTAAAATCACACACTATTTATTGGGTGGTACTTACAGTTGCGTTAATCTTCAACCGATAGAAAGTACTCAGTGCAGTGTAATTCAGACTTCCCTGTAATCTGACTTCGCCAGTTGTGGCTACAATGCTGAAAAGACTGGATCCAGCACTTGGAGTAACCTAGAAAAAACAGTGTAAATTAAGCTTTGATAAAGTAAAGGAACATCACAGTATGCTATTTATCTTTTGCAAAAGAAGCTTACTTCATCAATGCTGTAAGTAATAACCCCAGCGCTTGAGGTGTCTGCATCAGTGGCCTCCGCCTTGAACAAAGATGCACCTATGGCGGTATTCTGATTAATTGGACAGGAATAAAAAGACAGGCAAAAAAGAAAAATTAAACTAACTGATGTCTCTCATGTAGGACATTTATGTAATTTAAAAAATAAGAAGATCATTTGTAATATATAAATATATGCTTAACTTACTTCGTTGACATCAATGTCATATGAAGGCTCCTGGAATATTGGTTTGTTGTCGTTGGCCTCCTCTATTATTAGAGTTACATCTTTCTGTGTCTGAAATACATTGCATGGTGTACTCTTAAAGTATGATGAACACACTTAAATGAAATGGTTGATTAAAACTTAATGAAATGTCACTTACTCCAGTTTGACCATCATAGACATAAACTCCAAGCGTCATATAATTAGAAGCCTTGAATAAAAACAATTAAACACAGATGAATACAAATATATACCATGTCAAAATGCTAAACATTAAAGTGTCTCTTCTTCCACCACACCTCTCTATCTAGGTTCCTTTCTATGGATACAACCCCAGTGGTTCTGTTAACTGTGAAGTAGGCAGCATTGGGCCCATTGATTTCATAAGTCAGTGTGTCACCTTCCAGGTCTGTGGCTAATATAGTGAACGCGGGATGATCTATGAAAAGAAAACATCAGTGGAACATAGATTAATGTGTTCAGGCTAAGTCATTTAAAAATATATATATATTTCACACCCACATGCCACACACACACACACACACACACACACACATACCTTTGGGGATGTCTTCACATATTGAAAAGACTCCAGGTTCAACTGAAGGACTGGTATTTGCTGTAGAGAAGACAGTATAAGCAGAATGTTAAGTAGTGATAATTATAACGTAATGACAAAATTCACTGAATACTCACCATCTATTAAGCCGATGAAGCACATCAGTAATACACTTCCTGTAATGCCCTCCATGTCTGCAAATGAAAAGAAAGAACAACCAAATAAGTAGGGCGCTTTTCTTTAACAATTATTTAATAATGAAATTAGTCAATCGACAGAAAATGAGTTGGCAACTAGTTTGATAAATGATTAATAATCAAGTTACAAGAAGAGTCTGCTGTTATGCTAGTGGTCCTGTGGGGTTGTCCTTATATATTTAGCGCTTAGAGCTAAATCCAATATTGTTGGCATGCTGACATGTTATTATTCAGATTGCATAATGTTAAGCATGTTTACCATTATAATGTAATGTGTTAATAGGACGATGCTTATTAGCACTACTATTGCCAAGAATGATGGGAATGCCATTAGTCTGTTATGTATGTTATTTGACAAAGAAGAAAAATCGACCCCAACCATTGAATAAAAGACACGCAAATCAGGTTTCTAATTTGTTGGAGCACACCGAAGGAGCACACCGATGTATGTAGGCTTCATTCTCTGACAACCAATAATGTCTGAGCCGAGTTTCAAGGCAGAATCTGGATTATTATTAAAAAGGTTTCACATTCAAAGAATTTGCTTTGGTGTATGAAACAATGAACATAAATATATAATAGAAAACATTACAATAACAAAAGTATAATATTCAAACATATGTGGAGTAACTGTCTTACATGCAACAGCAGTTTCAGTGTAAAATAGTCATTACTATTAAATAGTTGTTACATTGAGTAGATAAATAAGAGAAGACAGGCTGGACCAAAGTGGAGCCATCGGAAAAATAAAGATTCACTTCTCAAATTCGGGCCTTTGTTGCTGTTCTTTGATTAGTATCACTGTTCATTCAGTTACACAATATTTGAATAAAAACAATAAAACTAATCGTCCATCTTATCTAGACAATTTATGGTAATATATGTGCCCTTTGATAACTAAACACTGTCTTTCTTTTGGTAAAACACCAAAATTCTTTAATTTATTTAACATAAATGATTAAACCAGATATATATGTTTTGCAGCTGGACAAAAGGCAGAATAGGTTCCTGCCTTGTGTTGAAATCGATCAGCATTTAGTATCTGGTCACACTCAAGAAAAATTATAACTGAGTGAAGTGTCGTAACATGTTAGAACGTTTCTTTACAGAAAGAGCAGCGTCAACTTTCTTCCCTTTTTAATTATTGATCTAGTTAGGGTAAGATCTGCTTTATGGGAAATGATCAAAATGTGGGCACATCATGTTTTCTACTGTTAGCAAGAAGAATTACAGTAGAATATGAATCATCTGAATAAAGCATGAGCAACAAGGAAGCAGAAGCCCGTCACTACATTGAGTTGAAGCTAGAGCAACCAATGACAAGTAGGCCATTTTACAGAATGCCCCTCGGTCTGATTTTACATTAGTGATTCAGTTGGAACATTTAAAGTTAACCTATATTTAAGGCATGATCTAATTTCAGGATTTAAGGAAGCCTTAGTTTATGTTAATGAGTATTTGTGTGATTGATAAAGGCTACCTTAGTCAAAATACTCTAGTTTAACTACTTCATGTAAAGAAAGAAAATAGTATTTAATCTTTAATCTGAATTTTTGGTAGATTTTGAATGTTATGATCAATTAAATATTCGGAGTATAAATGAGATTAAACTGATTTTAATGTTGAAATCCAAGAGGATTCATGTTGACCATTTGTCCATTCTTCTGAGAATTGTGTCATGTGAATATGTATCTTTCAAAGACGATAAAAGGCTAATATGTGCCCCACTGTTACAGGATGATACGATATCTACGGACAACACAGATGTCCTTTCATCATTTATTTGAACAACAGTCACCATAATATCCTAACTAAAACATAACCCTAACATCTAACAAGTAATTTAAAAAGCAGCAGACAGACTCACCGGATGGCGTTCCCAGAGGAGCTTCTCCTTCACTGACGTCTATGAGACCTTTGGCTCTCGTTCCTCCTAGTGATTATCGCCTTGTAGTTGTAAACATAAATGATTAACACGAACAAGGAGTGCACAGCCAATAAAGCAGCCCTAAACCTCCCGTCCCTCTATGTTTGTCAAAACTCAGAAACGTTGTACAGAAGTGAATGAGATGAAAATATCCACCTGTTGTTCTCACACATGGATATATTATGGCTAAAAGCCTGGGTATTACTGAGAGACGGGACCCTCATTGGCTGGCCTGGCCTAGCATGGCATGGCATGGTGCCACACTGGGTCAACGGTGTCCATACCAGCACCCAGGGGCTCCTTTGTTTGATTCTGTTGACATGGCAACAACGTGTCTCATCAGAACCAATCAGTGGGCCGGTGCCTTTTTGAGAAAGTACAGACCCATGTTCCTCCCTAATGAGCTCTTCCCATTAAACTCCCCCTCTTAGCCTGTGTCATTACACAAAAGACTATCTTCTGTTCTACCCACTGGATTCATTCGTGATCAGAAATGTGCCTCAACAGAAGCAGCGACACACCTTTCTAATGTGACAGAAAAAAAAAATGTTTCAGTGTTTTTATTCATATTGGTATTACATGTGATTGATTACATTATCAAATACAAAAAGCAATCTATTAACAGCCCTTTTGAACAAATGTGTAATTAGATTATAACTATTATGTGTTTTAGTTGATTCATTACATCTGTACAATATGTTCATTTTAAAACCTTTTTTCTCTTGAAAACCACATGTTGTGGAATACAGCTGTACTATGTGCTACTAATGTTTTTTTTAAGTGTAACTTGACTTGATTAACTGCAAATGCTGAACAATATGTTCAATGTTTGATTTTGAATAAAAACTTTAGGTTATATCACATTTTCGTTTGTATTTACATTTGTCAATAATCTGATCCAACCCTTTAGGAAGCACACTTGGAAAGCCTAAAATGGTTTAATGATAATAATTTATATTGCTATTTATTTAGTTGAACAAGGTTCTTAGCATTTTTTTAAAACTCAATTTCGATGCTTCAAAAGTGAAAAACAAAAGATGAAAAATATAGCCTAAAAATACTTGCTACTCTTTGTAAAATATTCAACCTTATACAAACTTCACTGAAGAGAGAGAATTGCACATATGTACATTTCTTTAAGAACTTTGAATCTATTGGCTTAACGGTGCCTTGAGCTAAATGCTAACGGCAGCATGCTAATACACAATGCTTACTGTGCTCACAATGTTCACAATCCTGGTTTAACGTGTTGACAAAGTACAGCTGAGGCATGTGGGAAGTCGTATTATTCGGTAGTATACACCAAAGTATTTAACCAAATTAAACTTTGACCTGATTGCTGACCAGTGGCGTTTTCTCCCGGAGGCCAAGGGAAGCCAGGCTTCCCCTGTTTTTTCGGATTGTAGTTATAATTTAAATAAATAAATAAAAACACTTTGTTTTGTTTCTGTAATTCTACTTTCCTGTGTGTTCCTGCCGGACCGTCTCTCCCCCATTCTCATTGAGTATTTTACAAAGAGTGAAACAGCGCCCCTCTAGATGTCATGGTGAAACAGTAGATTGCATTCACTGTTGCGAGAGGAGGCCAGCAGAATCTAGTTCTCATTCATAACACTCCGTTCGATGTCTCACTATGGGATGCGCCTCATCGCGGAGCAAACAGAAGCATCAATCTCATTACGCCAATCCTGATTGGCTGGAGATCTTGACGTCAGCGTCAGGGAAATCACCCCCTATAAGTAGCTTGCGCCACAACGCATGCGCCATTCAAACACCTCTTCTCGCTTCAGAGCACATCTCTATAGTAGCCGGACAAGCTTAACGGTCCACAGACTGAACCCAAATATAACCATTTCGGTCGACGGGCGCTCGCCGGCTACTCCTTCTGCTTCGCAAGAAGACGGTAATACTAACGCCAGTTAGTATTAAAATCGACCTCGCCGTTCTTTCCCCGGAAAGTAAGGTAAGGTTTTGATTTTTCTCAAGCTAGCTACGCACCCGTTGCTAGCTAGCTTCCCCTTACTACCGACACCACGGTAGCGAGGACGCTTTTATTTTTCTCTCTCACGGAGGAGAAAAGGATTAGAAGTATATTGACACACCAGTCAATATTCTTTGAGAACAAAGGACCCACACCGTCCCCTTTTTCTCCGGATTAAGGACGGGTTGGTAACACTTTTTCTCTCAACGACGTACCTGTTACGAGTGGGTCCTCTCCACGCCACGAGGCGAACAAGATGGACGCCTCTCCCCCTCACACCAGAGGAGTCAGGGACTCGAAGGCTCGGTCATGCGGCTGCGGGTTGAAGATAGCAGGCACAGACTCACACCAGGTCTGCCCGTCCTGCCTCGGGCAGAAACACGCCCAGGAAGCTATCGACAACCCCGGCTCGTGCGGGCATTGCGCCCTTTTCACCCGAAAGAGCCTCCACCGACGGCTAGCACACCAAGCTAGCTTGTTGGAACAGGACTCCCTCATGTCCACTGATTCGCCGTTTGGCAATCAAGACACGGGGGCGTCTGCTGCAGAGACTGAGCCCCTCACTATGTCGGTCTGGGGCTCACTAACAGCGGCAGCTGCGGAACCGGGATCCCACGCCGTGTCAGGCCGGGACCCGGTGGCGGCAAGAGACGCGGGAACGGAGCCCCACGCCTCACCAGGCGGGAGCTCCCGGCGAGACCTCACCATGGTCTCACCCGTGGGGAATGTCCTGGAATTAGACTACATGGGGGACAAAGAGGACGCCTCTGAGTCCCTCCTGTCTGATTCGGATGAGCAAGAAGAATATATCTTCATGTCATCGGCTCAAACGGCAAAGCCGGGAGCGATGGCTGCTCTCCCGGGCGATAGCACACCAGCTTCGCCCTGTCTGAGCAGGGACCTGCAGGCCGCGTGTCAGCGCACTGCATCCAGGCTAGACATCCCGTGGCCCGAAAGGGCCAAGGAGACCGCCAGGTCCCGTTACGAGGGGAAACATTCTCCCCAAGCAACGAGGACAAGGAGGCAACTCCTCCTGGTCTTCCCGGAGATGTTGGATGAGGTGTCGGTCTCATGGAGGGACCGACCCTTTACCAACAAGGCCCCAATCCAGGGTGCCTCCTCCCTAGACTGCGACGGTATGGAGAGGCTCGGCCTGCTCCGCATACCGCCGATGGAACTGCTGGTGGCAACCCACCTCCTACCGAGGATGGGCCCGTCACCAGGCAGGAACCCAACGCTGCCAGCGAAGGTGGATCGTTTCCAGTCAACCATGACGGAACGGTCCTACAGAGCAGCAGCGTTGTCCGCCAGGGCTCTGAACGTTTCCTCACTGCTAACCGCATACCAAGTGGAGCTCTGTGAGGATATGTCGAGTAATCCTGGACCGGACGTTCTGGACGAGTTGGCCGCGGTCACAGACATTTGTCTCTGTGTCCAACGCTGCGCCGTCCAGGCCACGGGCAAAACAATGGGGATCATGGTGGTGCAGGGAAGAGCTAGATGGCTCAACCTCACCAATCTCCCAGACCGGGAAAAGGAGGATGTGCTTGACATGCCCATCGTTCCCGAGGGGATTTTCGGCTCCGCTCTTGCCTCCATGCAAAGTAGATGCGAGTCGAAAAAAGAAGGAGGACGAGGCCCTCCACCTCTGCCTCCCTCGAAGGGCCCAGCCGCTGCCTTCGCAGCGGCAGCCCTTCGTCCAAGCTGCGAACCCTGCTCGGTTAAAAATACCGAAAGCGCAGAGGTCGCAGTCCGCCCCGAGTCCCCAGCCCAGGCAGGGGACGAGGGCGAGCTGGCCTAGAAAATCTCCGGTTCCGGCTGCAGCCCAGGCGCAGCCAACCCAGAATTTCGGCCAGCAGTCGAGGAAGAAGAAGCGAGCGGCGCGACAGCCCCTCCTTCTCCCCTCTGTGACAGAGCTGGAAGTCTACGGTTCCCCAGCTCTAAATGTGTTCCCGCCGCCTCGAGAGATGCCTCAACACCATCCTCAAGTCCGCATAAACACATGTCACACACTTATTGATTTTTCTGTCACAAATCATTTTCCGCTGACGCATCCAGGCTTCGAGCCAAGGGCGCAGCTCGGAAAAATGAAAAGAAAAACAATAAACAGCCCGTCAACTGTTCCCCTTCTGAGAGCAGCTACGGCATCTCTCAAAAGGCGGATTACAGGCGGGTCTGTGAAGGCACCACCGTCACGCGCATGCGCAGTGCCGGCTGGGGTTTTTAAAAGCACCACCGCTACGCGCATGCGCAGTGCCGGCTGGGGTTGTGAAGGCACCACCGTCATGCGCATGCGCAGTGTCGGTGGGGATTGTCGAAAGGGGGCACCACTGTGTTCAGACACTAGAGGGCCCCATAACACAACAAATAGAGACTCAGAGGGGAAGAGATGTGACATTTCCACTGGCTCTAAGGAGCATGCAGTGGAAGATGCTCACATCATCTGCCTGGGTTTTCAAGACAGTAACACGGGGCTACAGACTCCAATTCGCTGTCACCCCCCCCCTCGCTTCTCGGGCATTCTGCATTCGCAGGCCCGAGGAGAGTCAGCCCATATTCTGGAGAAAGAGATTCTCTCTCTCCTAGAAAAGAGGGCTATATCTATTGTACCCGCCGTGCAGAGTCAGGGCGGCTTCTATTCCAAGTACTTCCTCGTTCCCAAACGGGGAGGGAACGGAATTCGGCCAATACTTGATTTGAGGGCTCTGAACAAATATCTAAGAAGATATAAGTTCAGAATGCTCACTCACACATCTCTGCTGCGGCTCGTGCGACAAGACGACTGGTTCACATCAGTCGACCTGAAAGATGCGTATTTTCACATCCCAGTATATTACCCACACAGGAAATATCTGAGATTCGCATTTCAGGGGATCTGTTATGAATACAGAGTACTCCCCTTCGGTCTGTCTCTCAGTCCAAGGGTGTTTGTACGATGTACGGAAGCCGCGATAGCCCCGTTAAGACAACAGGGTATTCGCCTGGCGACCTACCTGGACGACTGGCTGCTTCTCGCACAGTCGGAGCAGGAGGCTGTTACGCAGACGAATGTCCTCGTAAAGCACCTGCTCAACCTGGGTTTCATAATAAACACAGAGAAGAGCATGTTGTGCCCCGCGCAGACTATACTCTTCCTGGGTTTACACCTGAACTCGGTGCCCTTTTCAGCTCGCTTGTCAGCGGATAGAGTGAAAGCTTTCAGAGCTTGTCTCGCTCTTTTCCAGCTGCGCAAACATGTTCTCTTCAGATCATGCCTGCGATTGCTGGGGCTCATGGCGTCAGC